ACACCACTATACAACAACGGAACATCGGTATACAACAATGGAACACCAGAATACAACAACGGAACACCGGTATACAACAACGGAACACCTGAATACAACAACGGAACACCGGTATACAACAACGGAACACCGGTATACAACAACGGAACACCGGTATACAACAACGGAACATCGGTATACAACAACGGAACACCGGTATACAACAACGAAACACCGGTATACAACAACGGAACACCGGTATACAACAACGGAACACCAGAATACAACAACGGAACACCAGTATACAACAACGGAACACCAGTATACAACAACGGAACACCGGTATACAACATCGGAACACCAGTATACAACAACAGAACACCAGTATACAGTAACGGAACACCAGTATACATTAATGGAACACCAGTATACATTAACGGAACATCAGTATACATTAACGGAACACCAGATTATAACAACGGAACACGGTATACAACATCGGAACACCGGTATAAAACAACGGAACACCAGTATACAACAACGGAACACCAGTATACAACAACGGAACACCAGTATACATTAACGGAACACCAGTATACATTAACGGAACACCAGAATATAAAAAACAGAACACGGTATACAACAACGGAACACCAGAATACAACAACGGAACACCAGTATACAACAACGAAATACCAGTATACAACAACGAAACACCGGTATACCAACAACGGAACACCGGTATACAACAACGGAACACAAGAATACAACAACGGAACATCGGCATACAACAACGGAACACCAGTATACAGCAACGGAACACCACTATACAACAACGGAACACCGGTATACAACAACGGAACACCGGTATACAACAACGAAACACCAGTATACAACAACGGAACACCGGTATACAACAACGGAACACCGGTATACAACAACGGAACATCGGTATACAACAACGGAACACCAGTATACAACAATGGAACACCGGTATACAATAATGAAACACCGGTATACAACAACGGAACATCGGTATACAACAACGGAACACCGGTATACAACAACGGAACACCGGTATACAATAACGGAACACCGGTATACAACAACGGAACATCGGTATACAACAACGGAACACCAGTATACTACCATCAAACAACGGATAAGGAAACAACATTGTTGCCAAGGAGATGATTATGACGACAATAAAACATACCACAATGATATTGATACTTTTGTATGGCAGCATTATAGCATTACGTTGTGATACTTTGTTAAATTTCAATAACACAATGCCTTTAATTCGTTTTAGTTGTAGAGTTGTAAAACAATTCATGTCCCTACATATAAGCTTCTGTTTTGAAACCCGTGATGATATTGAGACATCTAGTTAACTGTTATTAATTTCGCAATATGTAGTTTTAGTATTTGTAAACTTTTGTCATTGACTCATTCGCGAATCATTCCCAATCCAGTACAAGGATACAAAAACTATAATGAATGCAATGCTTGACAAAAAACCAAAACGGAAAAAACGATTGAAATAGATATATGTTGAAATAATTTACTGTGAATACTTTTTGATAATACTAGATATGTTATACACTTCGTTTATGGGCTATCCTGGTAAAGTGTGCAACATCCGGTATCTTTTGCTGTATGAAAATAAACGTTAGACCAATCTTAATAGCTGATTTAAACTTCTGCATTAGTAAAACCATATCAAAGACCTAATTCAAATATATATGTAACTAAAAGTGTAGTAAAAAAGCTCGCGATATTTTGAATCGGTCGAATCTACATATGAAATAGTGGTTACAATGCTAATAGAGTCACACAACCTACTGCGAGATAGATAAATTATCTCGTCCTTAGTAATAAATCAGATGTTCAGTTTGAACAGGTAAACAATTGTACAGGCTCTTCTGCATCTTTGTTATATCGATGTCTGTGGGGAATTCAATCACATTATTCAAAAAAATCATAGTTATAAACTAACAGAGGTCTCAAAGCAAAAATGTTGATGTTCGGCCAGCCAAGTCAAGATATATATGAACGTTTTTTGCGAGGCGTCGATAAGTGACAGCTAAATGCCGTCCGTGAATGACCATAGCTATTTATTTGGACGTTAAGCAATCAAAAATACCCTCCACAACATGAGGTTTTGAGAGATGCATGTTGATGAAATTTATGGAGAAGTTCTATGGCTTTATTCTCCGTACGCTTTTACAGATGTACATCATTTGTTCTTCTTTCATCAACTGTAATTTTGGAAACTGATTCTACTGACACGTTGGTATTTTCTTGTTGGATTGATAACAACTAAATTACACATTGTAAGGTAAAGATATAGCTTACAGAATGTTTCATATTGTTATCAGAATAGATAAGACCTTACAGTAAAAATGACTCCGACATTATTATTTAATGCATAATTACATACTGGACAGCATAAACGGCATCAAATACATTCAATTCTGAACAGTCTGCGCCGAGAAATAATATATTCCTGCTATATCTAGAGATATTTTTTGCATGCTGTTTCACATTGACAATACAAAAGATATACCGTCGACAAACATGTTTGGTACAACTTTTAAGTTAGATACAAGAGAGCCAAACAATTAATTAAACTTCATCATACAGCCGTTTCGTCTTCTTGTACTCGTTAGTGATGCAAAGGGCCTGAATTATGAAATCTAGGAGGCGATAGAGGAATATCCAAAGTGAACGAAAGAAATGTCAAATTCGAAAATGGGTGGTACATGTACTGATCTAATGAATTTCTTAATTTTCAAAGCATGTCCACGTCATCGGCATCACTTCTGACACAGGTAAAGGGCAAAGTTCAACAAGACAGTAGACACGTGAGTACTGTCATGCGCGAAGATCGTTATCATCGAAATCACGTTTTGGTAAACAGAGGACTGTAGACGGCCTGGGACTTCCTCTGATTGTGTGAAAGAGGTATCCCTGATCGATATGTTATCCTGTAAATATCCGCTTCATAAGACCCGTACACATCACAAAAACTAGGACAACTTAAACTATAACTTTACTCAATTACATTTTTACATGTGAAAACTAGAAATAGATTATAAAAGTACAAAATGTCTGATGTGTCGGCATTAAACTTTTAAGTCGATAAAAGCCAATTGTGCACATCCTTTTAAGAAAAACTATCTATTTGAAATTTTTGACGGAACGTGTCATCTAACCATTGAGGCTTTAACAGCTATGTGTCCTGGTTAATATCAAGGAAATCACTGCTAGCTCACAGAAATCGTGTACAACTAAAACCCCTTGGGCAAGTAAGGGATTGTTAAATAACTTCACCTGTAAATCATGTATCATACAGAACATAATAAACTTATAAATACTGAAAAAATGCTTACTCTACAGGAACACCTGGTCATATGTACCATGCACTTTTTCAGGGGTGTCTGTGTAAATCTTTTGTTCCTGTGTTTGCCCTAGTTTGAGTTTGGATTATGATTATGTTGACATGTTGATATTTTCTTCTTGTAGTCTTTTGTATTGCTACTATACAATGATTGAGCCTAAGCGATATGATAATTTATATCATATATCATAGAAAATAATGTTCGTAATACATATTACAGCAAAAGCTATTCCTAGAAACAGGAAAAAATGTTAGTAAAATGAATCATGCATACGGTAAAATCACATAAATACCACATAGTTACTTTCTGTTCAGACTATTGACATACATATGTGTTATGAAACACGTGTCAATATGAACCAGCGCACCTATAATTTGGCTTACGGTTCCCATCTCTTAATGATGACGTCATGTCTACATGATGTCATAAGCATTTTGATATACAAAATAAAAATACAAATATGTAGTGATAAATTTGCCAATTTAGATTTCGTATCATTCAAATGAAATGCTGTTAACTTAATGTTTAAAATATGAATATCCCTGTTATGTGATAAACAGAATGTTATACTCGTTTTATTTTCATATTAGTTTTATGAAACACTATCCTTATTTTCCGTTTTCTATCACAACGCGTTTTGTTGAATCAGCAGTTTTTTTTATCTCTAGTATCTGTTGCTTCTTCTCTGTCTCCTACATACTTCTTGGTTTCCTTCTTCATTTGACATTCAATACAACAACAACTTGTAAACCTCAATCCTCACAAGAAACGCGAACAAGTGTTTGTATAATAAATCATAATATAGCTAAGGTATATACTTTTGCAATACTCATATAACAAAAACTTCAATATCATATTTTATTGTGTTATAGATACAAAGATTATTACATTATATAAAATATTAAATCTTTTAAATGATAATGTTGATGTTGATTTGAAGGCGCCATACTGACCTATATAACTCTTTGTTTCAGTTTTGTCCTTGATATCTCTTTATACACTGGTGATATGGCTCTCAATTGCTTAAAGCATGGTTAGAGTTAACCTGTGGTTAGTGAAAAATGCTAAATATGAAAAGTACAAAAATGAGAAGATTCTTTGATAATACAGGTTAGAATGATACTTTTTGAGTGTCGATTTTGATGTTAATGTTAATGTTTTTTTTCAGTGACAATATATAAAGTCACCAACCACTGGTTAGCTCTAACCAAGCTTTGAACAACCTGATTTCCAGTAGGGCTCTCATTTCAGTGACGTCAATGCCCCGTGGATATTGACCACTGTGACGTCAAACCAATAAAAATCGATAAATATCATTGCTGATGAAATTGAATTAGACCGAGAACAGGATCTTATTTATGTATTGTAAAAAATGTTTGAACATGTATTTATCATCATATTTGACAATATTTACATTTTGCATGATCTCCTAGTAACTCGGTGTTAGTTTGTGTTTTCTCACACAGTTTATTGAACATATATATTGCATAAGTAAATTTTACACCGACATTTATCTTAATGCAGACCAAGGATGGACTGTTGCCTCCGCTTTGGTGTAAACCGACACACTATAAAGAAAAACTACCAATTGTCACAGCGAAAAAAAAATACACAAACCTTCACTTGGTATGGTGAATACACAGTTATCCTCCTGCGCTCCCTCCTTGTCATCGAAGTGTACAGACGGCACGAATGTTTGTGAGAGGCTGTCCATGCTGAGGAACTCTTGGTGTTCCCGTGTTTTCATATAACTTACAATGACCTCAGCTAAAATGATTTACAAATCATCTATCGGAGTTTCCTTCTTTCTTAAATTTCTCAATCATGCAATGTTGCAGTATTGCTTGCTTATCATGTAAATGAAGAAGAAGGATGAACAATAATTTCTTTTCAAGTCCACTGAGCAAAATACCACTTTACATTCGTTGTAGACGTTAACGTTTTAAAATGTCACAAATACTTTTTTTAATCAATAATGATGCACACAGTGATTGAGTCAAGCTACTACTTAAAAAAAAAAACATCGGACCGGATCTTCTTTTGATTGGAAAAGACGGATGTATCATTTTCATATCAACTGGGGTAAATGTGTAAAAATACGTAGCTAACAATTTTAAAATGAAGTGTAATTTCTACATGATCACTTGAAGGGCGTTTAGAAAGAAGTTACAGTATTTTAATTTTGGAGCAGGAAAACCTTTTCTAAATTGTTAAATCGAAACAAAAAGTGAGAGGACGATTTACTGTTTAGTTCAATTTATTCAACATAGGACTCGTCGTTGATATTGAGGGTAGATACACATATGTCACATTTTAATAATGTCTTTTGCAGTGAAATAGTGAACTAATTCATATGGGTAAACGTCGAGATAACCGAGTATTCGATTTCAGTGGGTTCGAATGTTTTGTGTAATGCTAAGAAGGGACCGACGAAATGCTTCGAATTAAACGTGGTCTTCGAGTTATAAGAGTTCGAGATACCTAGGTCCGAATTCATGTGACATGAGCATGTTATAACCGACTCAGCTGTTTTCATCGTTTATATCGTCATTCTATCTTTCTTGCGTCCATGGTAATCACCAACTCACTCTTAAACCATATATTTTATGACTTGTTTGAAAACGAGAGATTTTATTGTTTCTTAAATATAGCCGGAATTACGATTTCAATTTTGAACTTTGATTACAAATACCCGCAGTAAAATATCATTACATCAATCTTCCCACAGGCTATTGCCATACCTGTGTGAACAACCTGCGCCCCTATGTTGGCTGACTTGTTTCATTTTCGTACGAGGCTGAATTTTATTGAAGACATTATCAATATAGGTCACCTTCAGATATACTGATGACGTCTTGTCTTTAAACAACAAGAAATTTATTTGTCACGTCCATTGTATATATCCACCAGAACTGGAAATCAAAGACACGACATACTCGTCTACATCAGCTGCTTATCTCGATCTTTTCTACAGCGAAACGTATGGTATTCATATGTCACAGCTGATTCGATATTCAAGAGCCTGTTCTCATTATCATGATTTGCGTTCAAGAAGTCGTCAACTGACCGACAAGCTCGTAACACACAGGTTAAAAAAATGCAGGTTGATGAAAATTGTGATGAAGTTTTATGGTCGCCACAGCAATCACATTGAGAAATATTCTTTTTTCTTTGTGTTATAAGAAACTGGACGTTTTTAATGCTCGTTAGTTTGCCTGTTGGTTCCATTGTTGTATACAATGTTATTATTTGAGAACGTGACGTTTCTTACTTGGATTCACCGAGGTTTTCATAGCGGGGGTCGATGACGCAGAAGACGAGTTCTCTGGTCTTATTCTCCGTGTAAATTTTTCATTTGTTTCATTTATGGAGTTTGAGTTTGAATTATGATTATTTTGCCATATTGATATCTATTCTTGATTTTTTTAACCTTCTTTCTCAAAGTTATTAAATAGAAATAAAAAGATACCAATTTTCTCACATACGAATATCCACTGGATTACCTTATATTTTATGTTTGTTTAATCATAACATATGTAATTTACCTTTGAGCGTTTTTCATTGACTGCGTCAGTCAGAGATCTATGTCAAATTATCACCAAAAAGATAAAAAAGAAAACTTCTGAAACTCGTTCCATATAATCTCATATTAAATGAAAATTCGTTTAAGGTCACAAACGTGTGTGTTTACAAAGTCGATATTCAGGGATACATTTTCGAGCTCATAAGAAAGTCAGATCTTAGTTTGGCCTTTAAACATTTTATTTCACTTCCATTAATAAATCTTTCTTTTGAAATGTCTTGGAGGTTTACAACAGTCGTTCAGAAAATCTTTCAGAGCAACAGAGTTTGTTTATATTATATGCAAATGTTTTATTTTTCTTGCGGTAAAATGCTAAAATTGTTCTGATGTTCTTTATTGACACGGCAAACATTGTCAATGACGTCACTGCCGAACACATTATCATATTCTAAAACTCGTATTCATATTATGAACACCTGTTCATATTTTCAGTGTACATTTTGCGAACGTCCTTGTTAACATGCTTTATAGAAATTATTTACATAGAATCTAATCTCGTTAGATTGTTGAATAGTTCTATTGATCTCAATTAGCTGATAAAAATTATATATGATTTGTGGTACAAGAATATAAAAATACAAATCGTTTTGTTTAGATCCACTTCAGTATCAATTAATAGCCGACATAGCGATAGTATTTTTCAGATGAAATGTTGAGAAGAAAAATTGTATATAGAGTTCTCTGAACTAGTACTGCTATAGTGTATAAACTGTACGCAATAATTATATATACGTATATAAATATCTGACACATATGTCACTTTGTCAGGCAATATTGCCATAAATTACACACTTTGTCATTGTATCGTTGACGCTTTTAAGTTGAATAATTGTGTCCTAATCGAACGATTTTTTTTCAAATAAAAACTGTTTAAACTAAACATTTTCTTTGTTTTTTTTTATTAAATTTTCTTAAGTAGTAGAAAGTTTTAGGCATGCGATAAAAATTAGAAAAAAATAATTTTGACGTAAACAATAGAATGAGTCATGTAAAAGCATGTGATATATCATGGATCTTCTTATACACAGAATGATAAAACGTCTTCTTTATAAAACACGTCTATAATATATATATATTAGTTTCATTGTATTTGCGAAGATGTTTATTATATAGATATTTTATATGAAATTCACAAGATTATCGTTGGTCTAAATTGTACAGAGACTTCGGCACTAACAAGACTTATTATGTACCAGACTAAATGAACTAGACCTACAGTGCAAGTCTACAATGACACCATAAACACAAGAAGTTGTGGTATTCCAGTTTCTGTAAGAGTGTATAATTATCTTCAGAAAGACTGCTACTCCTATACCTATAGGCTACAGGATAGAATTTGGGAATACATAATCCGCAGCAGGTCCTTGATAGGATATTAATAGAAACCATACAACCTTTAGCTCGATTGATGTAGTGCTTTGTCAACATTATACGTTCAGATTAAAGGATGTCTGAAATCGGATTACCTAATGCTATTCAACTGTAACGACTGTATGACCTTCCAATTTAAAATGAAATGTAATCGACATGTAAATATATCTGATGTTGCCTGTGTTTAGCAATCTAAACAGCTCACGGCTGTAATTCGATAACTACAATACACTGAAACACCATGTTATTCGATGAATCCAGCCTTTGTCATACGGAACCAATCTTGCCGTCCCGACATAGTCTGCAATTCCTTACTTCTAACTCTTCTTTAATTTATGGTAGCAGTTATCGCAATTGATAATTGACTGTTATACACCTTTAAAATCATTTCATTATTTGCCTGTAAAATATACGAAATAATCAATTAAAGCGATGATTTAAAATTTACCGTGATCTTAACAGTTTTGATCATTGAGAGCGGTGCTTTCTCGTCACTTCATTGAAAATAGTGTTCTGTTTTCTCTAATTTTGTATATAAAGGCCATTCTTATCATATAACAGCATAAAATGGTAAACTTCGCAGTAGATGGCCAATTCAAAATGACGCCATCTTGCTGGTTAACCGTAAAGGAACATATCCAGAGTCAAAGGACATGATAGTATATCATAAACTGTTTTGAACTCCACTTTATGGTATAACCGATTTTCTCATTTCCTAAACGTCCGGAAATCTGATAATCTAAAGTTGATATTTTTTTATTATTACTATTTCCTCTGATTACATTTGGTAAATGTTCGTTTGTTTTATAGTTTTGGTTAAACATTTGTACTTTCTCTTCTGCTGCCGCGTGTAAACGCCGTGATCTGCAATTAGTCATATAGGAATAGAAGATCTGCACGATTACCATTAATTTATTTAAACTACAGTTATATATATATATATATTAATTTTAGCATAATAAAACAACAAAAACAACAACAACAACAGCAAACAGCAACTGTCAACAACAAACAACAGCAATGAAAACTGATTATAACATTTGTGTAATACGAACGCCTTATTATTCATAACCATGAATTATAAAAAAAAGTTTGTGTTAAGCATGAAACGTGCTGGTGTTTATTCAAATGAAGGATATCATACAATGACCTGACAATGTTTAAACATATAAACGCAAGCAATTCCAAATCAGCCACTATACATTTCAGCGCACAACCGGGTCAATGTAAGGGTTATTCCCCCTAACCCGGGGCCTCTATGATGCTATCATTAAATATAACTAGAACATTACACCATCCGTGCGTCACGGGAAACTCCATTAAACCGTCATTTGATTATTGTGTGAGAGATACAAAGACATATTATTTCTTTGTGTTACTACAGTGAATATATTGCACGTCAGTACATTTATGTAAATTTAGGTTGATGAATATTCATATTCGACATGATTGCTTTGACGGTATAGCAAGGGTAGGACTACATTATACGTTTACTTCAAACAATAATGTTTATTTATAACCCCAAAACATTGACCCCAAAATATTTGCATCTTTGAAAACAAACTGTGTTAACTGTTAAGTCGACACTTAAAGATGTTCAGGCATAACACAAATTATCAACAACTCTTCCTACGCACGGTTTTAATCTACACAATATGTTTATCATACCATTCTTAGGGTATGCTTGATTGACGCCAGTTTCCAAATAACGACAGCTGGTAATACCTTAAGTTTTTGTAGTGTAAGCATTGACAATGACT